TTGACCCCCCCCTCCCCGGATGGCAGCCTGTGGCAAGTGCAGCCGGGCTGATGGCCGAGTGCTGTGATGTGCCGAGTGTGGGCATTCAGGGCACTCCAAGCCAGGACTGCTTTGCTGTCCCTCATCGAGTTAGACAAGCGAGCGGGGAACCCCTGAGAACTGTCTGTCTGGGGTGGGGGTTGGGTCCCTTTAAGCACAGCCCTTGGCTAGCCTGAGACAGCAGCTCCACGTTCTAAGTCCTAATCTGATGCCCTGCCGGCACTGCTTCTGGCCATCCTTAACCTCGGTTCAGGGTCCACTCAATGTGGACATGCTAGTTCGAATTAGCAAAACGCTAACTCAAACTAGTTTTTAGGTCTAGATGCACTAGTTCGAATTAGTTTAGTTCGAATTAACTAATTCGAATTAAGTTAGTTCGAATTAGTGCTGTAGTGTAGACATACCCTCTCTCTCTCTCATAATATATGGTGAGTAGTACTTGGGTCTTTTCATTTTTGTCGTAGTGCCACGTTGTACCTCTCAAGATACTACTTCCATAAAGTGTGTTATTTTAGGTATTGCCAAATAATGGTGTTTAACTGTATAACATTTCTGCAGAGTTATCCATCCTACAGCAGTTTGTAGGATGGACACTTTTAAATGTCTTCACAAAGTTTTGGTATCTTCAGCTACAGTTCTGACCTTAGTTAAGTGATTTGTTACTTCATTTAATAAGGTGCTTAAATTAGTACTATGAATAAATTAGTTGGAGAAGCAGACGGAGAGATGAAACGATTTCAACACAATGAATTTAAATAGCTGCAGATTTTTCTTTAGTTCTCCTAATTTTTAAATGTAGTGTTTGTCATACCCATTAAATCCCTAATTATGATTTACACTAAAACTGATTTCTTTGTGGAGAGGACAGTAATACTGTATATATTCAGTATTTCACTAATAGAAATAGAGCAATTTTGACAATGTTTTCATGCAGGGGTAGGGAACCTTTTTTGGGGTCAGGGACCACTAACCTACAGAAAAAGCAGTTGGGGACCACACAAATGAGAAGCAAAAACACTCCTCCAAACCCCCCAACCCATACTGATGTGGCCCCCAACTGAGACACCTCACTTCTCTGGCACTCCAGCCCCACCGAGTGAAGGGACGGGTCAGGGGGGACTGAGGTTCAGGACTTCCCATAGGCCAGATTTACTTAGGGTGGGGTTCTGGAGTAGCTTTTTGTGGACCCCCTTAGAGTCTGGAGTGGGGACAAAAATGAGGGGTTCAGTGTGCAGGACACAGCTGCCAGCAAGTGGGATAGGGATAGGAGAGCAGGATGCAAGGTCGGGTGTAGAATCAGGATGGGAGAAGAGTGACTGGGGGAACAAGACCAAGGGAAGGTACAAGAGCAATGCAGTTGCTGGAGCAGGGTTGGGGATAGGTGTTTGGCAATGCACACACCAACCCCCTCTTGATATCTGCCTTCCTTCGTTCCTTCAAATTTTAGTGTGGTGGCTGAGTTTGCTTTTCCTTGCCCAGCTGTGGCCATTCCTTCCTCCCTAAAGGCACCCCATGGGGGGAAGGGGCTAGGGAGGGGAGGGTTTTTTCCCTTTCACTCCTGCAAGGGATTTCCACCTGCCCCCAACACCTCCTGAACTGTTAAGGGGTCACTGCTGGCAGCATGAAGCCACCTTAATGTGGGAAAGAGATCAGGTGGTGAGGGGGGAGAGAAGGTGGCCTTGCTGTGGCCTCCCCTATGCAGGGAAGGCGGTTCGGGGGCTTCCTTCCCCTCCCATTCCAGGGATGGATTTCCCCCTCCCCTTTCCTTCCTGGTCCCTGCATGCCTCCTTAACAGTTGCCTCCTCTTGGCAGCTGCGGGAGCGGGGAGGGCAGCAAGCACAGAAACCTGGAGCTCCAACATGTGGAACTTTCCCTTCTGACCAGGAGAGGAACAGGAAGTGTCCACCCGCATGCTGCAGGGAAGACAGGGGAAAGTTTTTAAAGCAGCCCCTGGGACTCCCCGCAGCATTTCACAGACGCTGGACCCCTTCCCTGCCCCAGGCTGGATTAAATTGTTTGGCAGGCCGGATGCGGCCCATATCCCGGAGGTTCCCCACCCCTGTTCTAATGTATTAACATTGAATTAGATTTGAGACAAACATAATATTACATTGATGTATATGTAAGAGCTAATGAGATTTCTCTTGTCTGAATGAACGAATTAGTAAAGTAACTTACACCTGATCAGCTTTCAATTGATAAACACAAATGCAGAAATCAACAAAAGTTAAGAAATCCAGTATAGCATTCATTTAGTTGCAGTAGCAAATATCAAGAAGTATACTTAAGCTTTAAAATTTTAATACTGAGATTTGGTCTTTTTAATAGGACCTTGTGTAATGTTCAAATAGCTGAGCACAAGTAAGTAATTGCTACTTGGGAAATGTTCTGTTTAATATGAGAACAGATGGTAACTGGTATTTTGCTAAAAGCTACAATTTCTTGCAGCTGAATCTTTTGAACTATATAAATATTCCTGCTTCGTGTGTTAATTGAGGGACAAATCAACTTTTAATATTCTTGTTTCCTGTCACATTAAGATGCATTTTCATCATAATGGTGTAGTCAAATGTTTTTAATTTTATCTGACTGCTTGCCACATATGCTTAGGCAGGAAAGAAGATGACAACAAGCATGCAGTTGCATGTTTAACAAATCTTCAAACTTTGTTTTGTAACATCACCTCTCAAATGAAAAGCATTGAGTAGGTTTTTTGTATAAATAATCCTACTTCACTAAGTACATGACTTTTTAGTCCTTGCAGCTATGTTGAATTGCATTTTACCTCTGCTGCTCTTCCACTCTTATTTCACTCTTGACCCTATTTCTAGGAGATGTGCGAGTAAGAAGTCGGGCAGGATTTGAAACAGAAAGAAGAGGTTCTCATCCATACATTGATTTCCGTATTTTTCACTGTAAGTATTTAAAAGCAGATAAATCACAAATACATGAAGGCTTCCATTAATTCCAACTTCTGGGCCTCTAAAAATTAATGCAGTAAGCTGCTTATGTAAAAAGAAACCACTCTTACACTGTTCAGAAAAATATTTTCATCACTTCGTCCTTGTTATTCCAAAAATAGTAAAGAAGACTCTAAGTGCTCCGTATTACTTTTTTATTCTATAGTTTAAGTATAGTTATGAATACATCAAGACCAGACACAGGTTTTTGAATGAAGTGAGGTATCCTCTTGTATCCAGCAATGGATGCACTTATTATTTGCTTGGAAGAGATAAGTATTTTTCCAGCTTTTACAAAGATGGTTCTGGAAGTAGTGACCTTACACATAGGATGAGAACTGAAAAGATATGAAGTAGGTTTCTGTGTCTCTGAATATTTTTAAAGGTTCCATTGATTTAGCACAAACAGAATCAAACTTAAATAAAATTTAAAGCAGCATAAGAAAATAACGACCTTAAACATTTTTTTACTTGAAAAACTGTTAGGAAGTCTAATTAGTTTTTTTTAAAAGGCCAATTCTGACTGAAGTTTACAGTACTAATTATTTTTGTTTTTCTTATGAATTCATACTGGCATTTAATCATAGCATAAAGGGACAAAATTTTCAGTATCTACGGAATAGTCCAAATGGTTAGGACAGTTGCGCATAAGATGTTGGAGATGTGGGTTCAATTTTCTGCTTCCCATGGGCTTCCTCTGTGACCTTGGGCAAGCCATTTAGCCCCTCTATGCTTCAGCTTTCAACGTGTAAAATGTGGGTGATAGGGAATCATCTCATAGGGCTATTGTGAGGATAATACATTGAAAGATTATGAAGCATTGTGAGATCTACTGATGAAAACAGCTATATCGGCAATAGGCATTATTTTTTATTTTTATTCACAATAAAATGAATATTCAGTAAATATGCAGATAATTTAAATTTTAACTCTTTAAAATAACTAATACATTAAATTTACAAATAGGAAAGGGAGTTTAAATGTCTTGTTACCAAAGTATCCATGTAGATTAGTGTCACAGATATCAGTACAGCTCTGTAAATGTGTTTAAGTGGAATGGGAAAAGGTGGAAAAAATCTTCTGACTCTCATTAAAATGTGGCTTTTGTAATGACTTAAATGATAATGGCAACAAAAAACCAAACAAACCTGTTCCAGTTATTTCCTCCCTTGTACTAATTTATTTTTAAAGTTGGTCCAATTGGCAGTCTAAACCCCTTAAAACTAGTTATTAAAGTTTCACAAAACAGGTGAGAAAACTAAGTTTGAAGAGTATGATGAACTGAATGCTCCAGTGGAGAGGAATTTAGACTTTGTCACAAAAGCATTCCTTTTAAAAAGTGGTAATCCTTTCATGTTTGGCAAAATAAGACATTGTAGAAGTAATATGCAATTGTATTAATATTAAATTTTAAAATACATTTTGTGAATGCAAGTCATTGACATTCTTCACATTCTTATAGACAAATTTATACAAACAGGGTATTTTTTTAAAAAAATAACCCGTCTGGCATTGCTATCTAGATTTATGTATTGTGTTTATCACTGTATCAGTCTAATATTTGTCCATCAGACTCAGGAGAAAAGATTTCTGGTCTTTGCTCACTCAGGTTGAGAACCTGACTTTTAGTAGCTTTAAACTTGGTATCAAGAAGTTCCTTGGCTACAACTTTTCACTTGATCCAGCTGCTGTAGGCTTTGTAAACGCACAGTTCCCTAGCTCTTCCCAGGCCAAATTGGGAAGCTGCACCTTGTTTCAGACACCTATCCCATGGAATATTTATTTTCCTTGTAATTTCTCTGAAAATAAATGGGTTCCACCCAGATTTCTTCATTTGTAATCCTGCCATGTATCAACTAAAAGTAAATGCTTCCTTTCTTCTTTCCTCTCTGCAGTCCTGTTCAGGATTTTCCCCAAGCTTTTCAAGCAAACGTATAGTGTACTTTGTTACAAATTCAGTCTCTGGGGGAGACTACCTTTGACTTCTTCTTCTTAGCCCTCTCTCGGTTTCTTTCTCTGGTGATTCCAGGAGGATTTAGTAGGAAGAATAGCTGTATTTAGTGTCACATATAACAAGGACCTTGAAAATTTTCCCCAATTGAATAAAAACTACTATTTGAGAGGAGCAGGCAAACTTGTGGTTTTTTTGCCTGGGGCAAATTTGGAGAGAGTCCTTCAGGTCCATTCTTCTATAGAAAAGATGTTTGAAAATAGTCTGTACTTGCTCTCCAGATGTTGCCAGTAGGTGTCTTTAAGACCTTCCTGAGAAATTTCCTTGTATCACCCCAAATCAGCATATTTGATTTGACCTTTCAGGGGCAAAAGTGAACTTGGGTTCATATCCTGCTCAAAACCAACTAATTTTTCCTTTAAAGACTACCGATCCTCTCAGTCTATGGAAGGAAATCTTTTGACTTATAAAATACTCATCTAGAATATAAGTATTTCCAGATTTTTCCTAAAAGAGGATATAACAGAAGTAGAAGTGGATATGGTATTTAGGTGAAGGAATAACATGTATAGGCATTATATTAGATTCCTAATTATTTTCCTTATCTTTCTTTAAGCATCTCAATGTTTCCTTTTTTAACCACTTCTGCATGTTTAGCTATCCACAGGGACATTCAGGTCGTTTTCCTGAATAGTTAATTAGTTTAGAACCCTGCAGTGTATATGACCCAATTATTTCTTTCAGGCTTGTATATGTGAAAATTTAGTTTCAACTGCCAGTTTGAACTGCCAATTCTATAGCTTTTATTAGGCCTCTCTGGAGTTTCTCATCTTCTCTTGCATTGACTAACTTACGTTTTGTCACCTGCAAATTTTGCTATTATTATTACTTTTTCATTTTTTCCCATATCATTAATATATTAAATAATTACACTGGTCCTAGTTCCCAACTTTGGATCATACCACTTTTCATCTGTCATGATGACCTTACATTGCTGCTTTGTTTTTTCCCTTAGCCAGTTTGCTCCGTGACAATACTTGCCTTTCACCAGTGATAACTTGTGTTTCTTTGATAGTCTTTTGTGAAGAATTTTATTTAGACATTGAAACAAGCCTTTTAGTTAATTGTCAGTTTGTTCCTTTACCTTTTCTTTTCTTGACAGGTCAAAGAATTCTAACTGTTTGAGAGACACAATTTTTCCCATAGAGACTCTGCTGTGGTTTATCCATATTAAAACATAGCCATATTGTAGAATGTATTAATTATTTCAACCTATTTGATCTGGTAGTAGGGTAAAACTTATTGGCCTGTAATTCTTTGGATCACCTCTAGTTCCTTTTAAGAAAAAGGAATGAAAATACCCACTTGCTACTGATTGCATATTTTTTAGGAACTTTAAGAGTGAAGGGTCAGTGATGCTAATTGACACACATGCCTATTACACCTGTATCTCCACTGACATAAGAAACCCAATCAGAAAAAGCCATCTGCAAGAATCTGTCAAAATGCTTGCTAGAAGTTAATTTTCATGACCTGTTTCAGGATTTTATTCTCATTTATTAAGATTCTGCATTCTGGCATACATTACTCTATGGATTTTACTTTGGTGTCTTGGTGACATTTTTTGAAGCCCACTCATTACCTTTTAAGGTCCCAAATTTCTAGAAAAGATCCTTATTTAGGACACCAGGTCTTGGAAGACACAGCATCTCATTTTACCTTTGCTGCTTCTTCATGTAGGCAAAAACCTAACTTCCTATTATTACCCTCTGCATGAAATCAGCTAAATGTGATCGTTCATGCCTAAAATGGGATTTCAGTGTCTGACAGTTTCTACTTTGATTGCCCTTTGTCCATAACCATTAAGAGGTTTTCTGGGAACCCACACAATCTTAATTCTGACCTTTAGCAACATCATACACAACAGTATTTTTTTACATTAGTCTTTGTGATCCTGGTCTAGATTAAACTCACTTTTAAAGATATATTAGATTTTGTCTTCATTTTCTTCATGTTTCTTTGGGTGTCCAATCTGTGTATTTGCAGACCTTAATGTGTTTGGATTACTTTTACACTATACTCTTAATTTTCTCATTTTATAATGATGATATTTACACTATCCCAGTGATGTATTTTACCCTGTCAACATTAACTAATCAGTTAAGCTGGGCTCTAGATCATGTGAGGTTGGAACTACAGGTTTCCACACAACCATCATTTAATAGCTGGAAGATGTGGGGAGGAGAGAACAGCAAAATGGTTGCCTGTCTTTCTGGAAAATAGTGTTTTCCTTTACTCCTGCTAAATTGGGGTCTTCCAAATCTTTTACTAAATTAATTTTTTTGGCAACCATCAACTGAATTTTGTCTTTGCCTTTCATATATGAAAACTCTACCCATTCACTACAAACCTATTATTGTCCTAGTGTGGAAGGGTAGATCCTGGAGGCGGGGGTGAAGAATAGGAGGTTTGGAGAGCAAGCTCTTCCCACTCCATGAGTTGTGACCTTCTGCATGGGGCCACAGTGTCATTCAGTTTAGGTTGGCTGCCCCACTATCATGACTTTTCTTGACAATCTTACAGAGATATTAAGTGTCCTTTTTTGTAAGAAGAAAGTTAGTGTAGATGACCAGTGGTTATTGAAGGCTTACTCTTATTTCTTTAAGTAAAAACAAGACACTTAAAACATGAAGGAAGAAGGAAAATGGTATTTTCTCTTGCTTTCTTGCTTGCAAAATAACTGCTGGGAAATTGCAAAGCATAGCATGTGTCCTTATTAGACACACTCAGAGATCTGGCAAATTCTATTTAAGGCATTGTTTTTAGTTTTCCGTTCTGGTAATAGGTTCACAGCAGAGTCACAAAAGGTGGATTTGTCTTGGACAGCAAAAACAGATTGCTTCAGAGACAGAAGACACAAAAAGAAGATGGCAAAGAAGAGAAACAAGGTGGTAAAGAAAAATGGAATATGAGGGAGGCAGTGGCAACAGTAGCACAAGCTTCA